ATGTCAGGATTCTTTTGAATTGCAGTGCATGCAGGAGATGGGGAACGGAAAAGCAAATCGTCTTTACGAAGCCTTCCTGCCCGAGAACTTCAGGCGACCTCAGACGGATCAGCATCCTTTCTTTGCTGCTGGGGGGGCTGTCCAGCTCGTCCCATTGCTGCCCTCCCTGCCTGGGAGGCTCTGCTTCTCATGTCTGGGCATCAGCTGTGGGCAGGAGCTCCTGGATTGCACGGAGAGGATCCGTCTGTGACCGCTGTCTCTTGCACTGATGGCACGTGTGCTCTTGAGCAATGGTCAAAGTAAATATGTATCAAAGGAGAAATAGGAAGTGTCCTTTTCCTTATTGGATGTACCTGTTACAGCACTGTCGTGCTTGGAATAGCCCAGAGGTGCAAAATTGAGTAGCTAAAGTAGTTGGAACTATGACTATATTATTTTAAGTTGCTGCTGGAAATGCTCGTTAGGCAGTCATTAGTTTAGTTACAGCTTGTACCTTGTATCCACGTGTCACACAGTGCGATGCACATCTTCCATTCCTGAGCTGTTTGCCTTTAACAAGCTGCTTGCAGAGCTGTGGAAGGCTTCATTCGTGATAAGTACGAGAAGAAGAAATACATGGACCGGAGCATCGACATCAACGTGTTCAGGGTGAGTCCCTCAGCACCTGTGGGCATGAAGCTAAGTGTGGGTTTGTCTCATGAGTAAGAGGTGAGTGCATGAAAATAGGTCTGAATGTTTCCTGTGTCAGTGACTGATGTCCTCTGCGAGGCCAGCCGGGTTCAGTCGGTGTGCAGAGGAGCACTGAAGGAACCTCTGAAGGTCGTTTGTGCAACTCTGTGCTTAGAGCAGAACTGACTTCAGGTGTTGGTCTGTGCTGCTGCCTTGGTGGCTCATCAGGAGTCTGAATAGTGGGCGAAAGATGGGGGCCCTTTAGGTTAACAGCAGCAAATAAAGCCTGGTCCATATTTTCACCGTGTGATGGTGTGAGCTTTGACCCTCACATCAGAGTTTTCCTCTACAGAAAGAAAAGGATGACAAATGGAAGAAGAGTAACGAGCCAGTATCAGAAAGAAAGCTGGAACCTATCATCTTTGAGAAGGTGAAGATGGTAAGCCTATGGCCACGGGTCGCTTGTAGGCTGCTCTCAGAGGCAATGCAGCTTCATATGGAAGCATTTTTTCAGGCCTCAGTCATAGCAGTGGATGCTTTGAGTCACACTAATGGCAGTAGCTTGTTTTCCACCACTCAGGCAGATACTGAACAGATGTGCTCTGCTTTGCAGCACAGGGCAGATTGGAATCCAGCTATTCCCTGCTTGGCTTTCAGGCTCAGGCTGTTATTTCTCTCTGGTTTAAAGCGTGCATATTCGTATTGATGCAATGGGACAAAAAACTTTGTAATGCTTGCTCTGTCTAGTGGGGGGTAGGGATGTTCAAGGGTTTGATCTCATTAAAGCCTCCTGTGTATCAGAGCTAAAAGATGACTTGAGCCAGACTTCTGCTGTTCTTTCCCCAGCCTCAGAAGAAAGAAGAAACACAGCAATCTAGGAAAAGTCCTCCCAAATCCACTGAGCCCATCATAGACTTGCTAGGACTTGGTAAGAGGCCCCCAGCCTGGCTGTGCTCTCTGCAGTGACCCTCGGTGCAGTGCTTGGTCTCCTGAACTCCATCAACTTCTAGTGGTTCCCTTCCCTGTCTGTCACCTCCTTGTCTCTCCCAGATGCTCCTGTGCCGAGCGCCCTCACCAACGGCCGGCCCTGCAGCCTGGAGAAGGACCTGGATCTCTTTGCATCAGTGGGATTGAACTCTGACTCCAGGAAGGTAAGCAGGGAGCGTCAGTGCTCCCCAAAGAGGGGTGCAGGAGCGGAGGGGATGCCATCTGTTGTCCCTTGTGCTGGATGCTGCTGCACCTGTGCTGCGTCCCTCTCAGGTCTCCGGCTCTATGCCTACATCTGGAAGTGCCGGTTCTGTTCCTGAAAACCTGAATCTCTTCCCCGAGCCAGGAGGCAAAGGGGAGGAAGCGGGCAAGAAGCAGCTCTCTAAGGACTCCATCCTCTCCCTGTACGGCTCTCAGACACCTCAGCTGCCTGCGCAAGGTAACAGGTCTCAGAATAGAGCAGCACACTGATGCTGAGTGGGTGGGCCGCCCTGATGGCTGTCAGGCAGAGCTGTGGGAGGGTGGCTGGTGCTCGAGTGCTGCTGAGGAGCACGATGAGCTGCTCAGCCTGGACTCGCAGCCGAGCGAGCGTTGCAGTCGGATTTGAAGGTCGGCATTCCCACCCTGACAGCCAACACAGCCCTCCTTCCCTTCGTCGCTTCCCTGCCTGTTTTCAGGAGCGATGTTCATGGCCCCGGCTCAGATGGCGTATCCTGCAGCGGCGTACACGGGCTTCCCGGGAGTCCCCCCCTCCAGCAGCGTGATGGGAGGCATGATGGCCCCGTCGGTGGGTGTGATGGCCCAGCCTGGGGCTGCGGGGATGGTGACCCCCATGGCCATCCCTGCTGGATACGTGGGCAACGTGCAGGCCGCTGTCATCGGTGTCCCCAATGGGATGATGGCTGCACAGCAGGCCGGTTACGTAGCTGGCATGGCAGCGGTCCCCCAGCCTGTCTACGGCGTGCAGCCAGCACAGCAGCTCCAGTGGAACATCGCTCAGGTGAGGGGTGGCTCCTGCTGACCTGAGGGTGGACGGAGGAGGAGCGTGGTTGAATCCAACCTGTGACTTCTGTGCTCTCGTAGCCTGTGTTCTGGGGCAGTGAGGCACAGTGGCACTGCTGCCATGCAGGGGTCACAAAGCAGTAACACATTCAGGGCTCTCGGGGTGGAGAACAAAAAGTCAGCGTCGCATCAGCTGGCATTGAAATTTCTCAGCTCCATAGGTGGGCAGGCGCCTGAGGAGATATCAGCTCCAAGGTGATATCCTCGTGCATCCAGGTGGGAAAGCAGCAGCTCAGGGCTTTGTGGAGAGGTCCAAGGAGAGGTGGAAGCACCTGGCTGCTCGGAATGGCGAGCTGTAGGCAGAGAGCTGCAGTGTCCTGTGTCCAAGCCAGAACTTCACATTACCTGGGCGCTGTGTGTCCGTCCAGCAGCGTCAGTCTGCACTGAGCTGAAGGCTGGGGGCTCATGGGCTGGTTTGAGGAATGAAAATAGGCAGGAGGTGCTGCTGAGAGACAGAGGGGAGCGCAGCTAGCTCTGCTGGCTGCTGATTCATGCTGTGTGCTGCTGCTGAAAGGTCAGATAATAGCACGCCGTGATTCTGCAATGGCACAGCTTCTGTAATAAGATGAAAAAGTCGCGTGCTTGAGAATGAGGAGAGTCTGCTTCTGTAAGTCTAACTGCTGGGCTGGTGATAGTGGAGCCCAGCCTTCGGGGTAGCTTTCAATGAAGCTGTACTGTCTCATTTAAGCCTCTGTTTGCTGTAACTCTTTACGAAGTCTTGCTGAAGGCTGATGTGCTGGGAGGCATGCATGCAGGCTGGCACCTTCGGCCTGGTGACTTCTCTGTCCTCCCTTTTGCAGATGACCCAGCAGATGGCTGGGATGAACTTCTATGGAGCCAACGGTGTGATGGGATACGGACAGTCCATGGGTGGAGGAGGTGCCCAGGGCAGCAATCAGTCCCTCAGCACTCAGCTGTGGAAATGATCCCGCGCGTTGTGACCATTTTTGCCTTCTGTTCCGTTTTTCAAAACTGCTCCATGAGACATTCAGGGTTTTTCTTTCAGGCTGGCTGCCCGGCCCCAGCCTCTTTCCATAACTGAGACCCACCTCTGCCTCGTCACTGTCAGACACGGTGCGACCTGGGTGACCAGAACATGAGCTCCCCTCTATTTAGCACAGTCAATGCACACTTTGGGGTGGACCCCCTCCTTGCACAAACCTCCACTAACGCTTCTGGGTAGCACGAAACGTCCTGGGATCTTAGCAGAGGTGTGACCGAGGAACGGGGCGACCTGTCCTCCTTACTGCCCGCGACTTCAGGCCTCTTAAGAACCACTCAAAGCTCCAGTATTAGTTGGGGTTTCAGTTGGCAGAGGGTGGGATCCGTGTTTGGTGCTGAGGCGCTGGATTTTAGCCCAAGCCCAGGGGCAAGCAAGCCTTGCTACCTCTTCCCTCGAGCGGAGTTTGGAGCTGTGCTTGGCTCGCCAACCCTCGTTGGAACCAAAGGCGTTCAGAGACCCCCTCCCTCCCCCCGTGAGCAAGCAGGATTCTCGCGCAGTGTGGGGGCAAGCTGTCAGAATGTGAAACTTGCACTTCGGAGTGGCTTTTCTGTCTGATCTGTGGTATTGATGTATTTAACTTTTAACTAACGGAGAGTTAACTTATCGAGGGCTGAGAGCCCGCCGCAAGTTTTCTTACACTTTTAAACGACATCCTAATTTATACTTGTTTCATATTTTGTTTTGTTCCCCTGTATTCCCGGTACCCATCCCTGCTAGCTTCAGCCATTTTAATCCAGGCACAAGAGTGGGTGGATCAGATTTCTTTTCTCATCTTCGGTAGAACACCACAGCTTCAACTCGTCAGCAAGGAGCCCGAGCTGTGCGGGCTGCGCCTCCCTGTCTGTATGTAAATCCCCCAATAAAACACTGCGGTGAAACCTCGCTGCCCTGTCTGTTCCTACAGCAGCGCTGCGGTGGATGCAGGCAGCCTCTGTGCCCTGTGAGCAGGGCTGTGAGCAGGGCTGTGAGCAGGGCTGGGCACGGAGGAGTGCTGGGAGCCGGGGGGGGGGGCAGCGCTGAGCTGAGCAGGGTGAGTTCAGGTCAGTTGACAGCTCTGTACACAACAGAAACCTGCAGCCGTGGGCTGCGATGCTGCATTCCTGCTGCGGGGAGAGCTGCAGCAGCTGGCGGCTGATGGCAGGGGGTTGGAACTTGGTGATCCTGCAGGGTCCCTTCCAAATCAAGCCTTCCTACTGCAGTCTGCTGGGAGGCTTGGAGCTCCCAGGTGGTGGTGAGAGCAGGTTGGGCTGGGGGGCCTGCAGAGAACAAAGCGCAGGAAGGCTGCAGCGAACTGCCTGGCCTGGAGCTGATGCTGCTGTGATGCTTAATGCGCTGCTCTGCTTCTTTCTGTCCTTCACTAAAAAACTGTTCTTTTTCAGGGCGTCCCTCAGAAGAGAGCATTTCTTCCTCCTCCCCATCAATCTGCCCTATAGGGGGACGCTGTTAGGCTGCGCCCCTGCTTGGTGGCTGGGCGCTTTGTGACGCTCGACTCAGGCACAGAGGGGTTTTCAAGCTGGCTTTAATCATCTTCACTTGCTGCCCCGTACTGTACATGCAGGTACAAGCCAATGAAAATGTGAGTACTGAGTCAGTTTGTTCCTCCTGGGGAAAACTGGCTTAGGAGTATCTTACAAAATAGCGTGCACCCTCACAGCCATCAGTCCTGCTGCATATAAACCACAAAAATACAAGAGTTTTACATTAAGAAAGACCACGCACATATAAAACATTACAGAACACAAGTAAAAAAATTGCCATTTGCTTTTTTTTGTGTGTTTTTTTTTTTGTTTTTTCCCTCTTAAATCTTATCACCTCAAGGATCCATCGAAGCCCATCCTCCCCTTGTCTTGAATGCGGAGCCGGGGCGCAGCGCAGCCCCCTGCCCCCCCTCTGTGCCGCTGTTTGCAGGTGGCGTTGTTGAACTTGGGGATCTGTCATCAAAGCAAAGTCTGTGAGCGCATGGGTGAAGGCAGGCAGGTTTTGCTCCGTGCTGTGCTGGCAGAGGAGCTCCATCAGGCGTGGGATGCACACAGCAGACGTGAGCTTCGCTCCTGGGGGAAATGGGGACAGAAAGCAAAGCCAGCAGCAATTTGTGGCTCACGAATTCTGACGGCTTCCAAATTCTTCCTCCATGCAGTTTGCTGGGGATGCAGCACGGTTTGCAGGCCGTGTTCCAGTGCTGGAGCTGCGCTGTGCTGCTGGGAGCAGAGGCTGGGGGCTCCTCCTGGCCGGGTGTCTGCAGCACACGCTGCCATTGCTCTGCTCCTCCGGGGGTTGGCAATGAAGTTCAAAAGGCATTGATTGCGTGTGAAGAGGTTGAAGGTAAAATTCTTCCTATCTTGAGGTTTGGGAGTCTGAATTCAGAGCTTTGTGGCAGGTGAGCGCTTCAGGCGCTGCTTTGTCTGTGCTCAAAGTGCTGCTGTTCTCCTGTTGCTGTGTTTCAGGACAAACCTCAGTCTGAGCTGCTGCTCCCCTTATGGCTGTTTCCCAGCCAGACGGGTCTGGTGTCGTTCCAAAGGTACAAACTGCTGAGATTAATGACAGATCCCGCAGCCCTGGCAGTGCTTTGTCCAGCCGAGCTGCTCGTCGATTGGGTTTGGAGGTGGGGTGAAGAACGGTGCGATGGGGAAGGTGAGTTCGATTTGACTGCATGGAAAGATTGAGCCCTTTTCAGAAAACAAGGCCACCAACTTCAAAGTGCGAACATACATTCAAGGGGCCCAGAAGGCAGGAGGGAACCGTGGGGTTCTGTGCTCCGCAGCCATCCCTGTGCAGGTGAAGCCTCAGCGAGTGGGGACAGTGCACTGTGCATCGTCCCCAGCTTCCTACAGCTTCCTTGCCTGCCCTTCTGAGGGCTGCATCGCCCCCAGGTTGGGTTATGGGGCAGCTTTGGGGTGCAGGAGCAGAACAGACTCTGCAGCCCCGTGTGCCATCCCTTCGTTTTGCTCCTTGGCCATCAGAGTGGCACAGAGCAGGGGAAGCACACACACGCACCAGCACCCGCCCCCAAGAATTGCTCTTCATTGCACAATTACAACAAAAAAAGAACCTGAATGTGGCAAAGTGCACAAAGGTCTGGGTCTTAAAAGAGAGGGGAAAACAGGAAAGGGAGAGAAGGGAGGGAAAAAAAAAACAAACCAAAACAAAAGAATGAGGTATCCCAATCAGCAGAGCTGCGTCCTGACCCCACTCCTGGGCAGCTGCTGCCCCGGTGGCTCCGGGTGCTGCTGTGCTCAGTCCTGGCTCAGGGTTGGCTGTAACAGTGCGGCGGTTCCTCGGACAGCAGGACAACCTCGTGCCCTTTGCTGTATGTTTTTCTCAAGTCTGCATTCGAAACCGAAATCTTCACAGCGTGAGGATCAGCACAGGGGAGCCAGGGCTGGGGAGCAGCGCTGCCGCCCCTCTGACCCACTGCTCCATGCCCTGCTGCGCTGCCCGCCTGCTGCTGCTCTCCTGCAGGCCATCACATCTGCGGGATTCCAACCTTCCTATCCAGACCCGAGGTGTAAGCAGGGCCTTTCCACCGCCTGTGTGCATCCATGTGGTAGAGGAGGACGACTTCCCACTGAAACAGCTGCGTCAAAGGCCGTCGCTGCAGCGTGGGATGCAAACCTGGCTCTTAGAGCTCTGTCTTGAGGCACGGCAGCCTGGAGGCCAGCAGGGCGAGCTGCTCGGAGCTGTACCCATCTCTGATGCGAAGCACAGTGAGACTTTGGGTGTAGCCATGAAGAACGGCACCTGGCCACTGCTGCCTGGCCACTGCTCCTTGGCCTTCAAGCTGTTTTCCAGCAGATGCACCCCCTTAGGGAACCCTCTGTTCCCCTCAGTGCAGGGAGAAGCATCTGAGTCAACTGGTAAGGAAGGGAAGGTGCTCCAGGAGCGCAGGGCCAGCACTGCTTCTGCACAGGAGCTGATGTGCTGAGCTGCTCACTGCTCGTGCTGCCCCAGGACTCCAAGGCTGGTTGGGGTAACATCCATCCTCACTGCTCAGCGAGGAGCCCTGGCTCCTGCCCCTCTGTGAGCTGTGCTGCAGTGAGATCCTCTGCGTCACACGTGGATGCTGGGAGCGCCAGGCAGGGTCCAGAGCACCGAGCCCCTTCTGTCTGATGCTCATTTCTTTTCTAGAGGAACATATTTGGGAAGGAGACGGGCCTGGATCTGCTTTCCTGGAGGAGGGGAGATGCAGTGACCTCCCAGGGTCCGATCAGCCATCCTCTGCTCCTTGCAGCGTGCAAGGAATGCCCTGTGCAATGAGCATTCCCCAGCACGCAGCTGCAGCTCAGAGTGCAGGGCCGTCGCTGTGCTGCACTGCAGGCAGTGCTGGGTGCTGGGTGCTGCGTGGGGCCGGGTGCAGGGCTGGCACAGGGCTCCCACGGTTGGAGATGAACGGGGTGGACGCGGGGATGTGAGCACAGCCTCGGCTGCAGGAATCGCTCCCACGCCCGCAGCGTTTGCAGCAAGGCAGGCGGTGCTGCTGGGAGCCGTTTGCTCTCCTCCTGCCTGCACCGCGATGCCGTTAGGAGCAATAAGAAGTGAGCCGGGGCTGCCGGGTTCCTGGTGCTGGGCTCTCAGGTGGAGCAGAACGCAGGGGCTGCACGGTGCTGTGCGCCCATGGCAGAGCGCAGTGCTGAGCAGTGCTGACAGAGCTCCTCCTCCTCCTTTTTCCCACTGGAGTCGAGTTGGTAAAGCGAATCACATCAAACTGAGGGTCTGTTCTGCGCCCTCCGCTCTGCCTGCGTGCCACGACCCGGAAGGCAGAGCCGTGGGGGCGGCGGGGATCCCCCGTTCCTCCTCTCTTGGTGTCGTGGTTTGGTTTCTCTCTCTTTTTTTTTTTTAATCTTTTTCTCTTTTTTTCCTCCCTGTTGGACACCGATCCTTCGGGACAGTCCTCGTGCTCAGTGTATTCCGCGAAGAAAGCAGAGTCGCTAGTGGTGTCTCCCCTGAGTATTGTCAGCAAATTTCATTTAGGCACCTTCAAAAACAAAACAAAACAAAACAAAAGAAGCTTCCGCCATTCTCGGTGTTGCTACAAGAACCGATCCCCGGGGGGGGGGGGCCGCCCGGGGGGGAGGGGAGCACCGGAATGCTGCTTGAAGAACAAACGACCTGAACACACGAACAGAAAACGAACAAACACCCAAACGCTCGTCGTCACCACCGAGCGCTGCGTCCTTCGCTCGGCTCCTCTCCGTCACCCCACTTCCAGCGCAGCAGGAGCTGCTGTTGAGATGTTCCCCCCCGCATGGAGGGGATGGGGGGCGCCGCGGTGCGCTGTCGCTTTGGCAATGTCACAGGCAAAACGCTACCGAAAGAAAGGAAAAAGTGCACCGGTGCCGCGGGGTCGGCGTGGGGAAACCAACGGGCTGCGCCCGCTCTGCTCCGGAGCCTCTCGGGTATTGCAGTGATTGTGTCGTTAGCACGTGGCGAGCTACATAAGAGAAGATGCTACATTCCTTGGAACGAAAAGTAGTGCTGAGTTGGATTCTTCTGCCGAGTCTCTCGTTACTCCCCGTTCCTCTCAGGGCAAGGAGCGAGATGGAAAGAAGGGAACGGCGTCTCCGTGCTCCCAGCATGGGAGGAGCGCGCCGGGAGCAGGGGATGTTGGGAAGGAGATCTTTAAAATTAAAAAAAAAAAAAAAAAGAAAAAAAGGATGGGATATTTACAGCCATCCACAGACAGTCCTGGGGGTCGGGATGGCTCTCCCTGCCCGGCTATGGGCAGGAGGGACTGGTGGAGCTCTCCAGAGAGGACTGGGAGAGGCGGCGTGCCAGCGGCCCGATGCTGGAGTCGGCCAGAGAGGAGGTGGGGAAGAGTTTGTACCAGCCCGCCACGGTGCTGGAGAGGTCGAGCTCCTCCAGGACGATCTGAGCCATGCCCATGAAGCACTTGCTGTCCATGCGCCCGTAGTCGCCCCACACGATCACCTGTGGGGCAGAGGTGGCATCAGGGGGGGATGCCCTCAGGGGACGCCGGGCCCCTGCTCCATCCCAACCCCAGGGGCTGTCGGGGGGTTCACCTGCAGGACTTTGCCCTGGGGGCTCTCCTCGAAGAGCAGCGCCTGCTGGTACGAGGGGTCGCAGGTCTTCTTCACCGCTTTGGTCTTTTTCTTGGCCAGGCAGACGCCGTTTTCCAGCAGGTAAACCTTCACGTAGGTGGCTGCAGTGGGGAGAAGCGCTGACTCAGAGCAGCTCCTGGCGGCGTCCCGGCGCAGCGCCGTCCCTCCGCAGCCCACCTACCTGGGATGCATTTGGAGCCCATCTTTGGGATGAGGCCCCGTGCCTGGATCACCTCCACCTCCAGCTGCCCGCTGCGGTCCGCCATGCCCATGTGGACATCACCTGGGCAGGGGAAGGGATGCACTGCACTCAGCATCCTCCCAGCACCCGCCTCCTGCCGGCTGTGAGCTGGGCTGGTCCCCAGCCGTTGGGAAAAGCCACCTCCAGGGTTGGCAGCCCCAGTCAGAGAGTCGTTAAGGTTGGAATAGACAGCTAAGATCACCAAGTCAAACCATCGACCCACCCTGCCATGCCCACTGAACCGTGCCCCCTGCTGCTGCACTCAGCATGCTGCCAGAAGCGCCCCTATGCACAACCTGTGGCCCTGTTGCTCACTTCCTGGTGGCCCTGGCAGAGCCAGGGGACAGGGAAAAGATATGCTGGCATCCCAGTGGGGCTTTACAGCAAGGAATGAACCTGCGCATTCTCAACACACATCTACTGCAAAAGCCAGAGATTTGGGGCTGCCCTACATTGTGGGGAGCAGGAAGGATCTCAGGGGAAGCCAGAGCTGCTGCGTCCCCCCCCCCCCCGGAGATGCTCCAGCCCTGTGCCCTGATCAGGGACGTCCCCTTCCCTCAGCTGAGCCACACACAGCCCCAGCTCCTGCCGTCCCACACAGCCCCGCTGCACGGCGCAGCGCAGACCCCCAGCACTCACCCATCGGGGGGGTGGCCAAAGTCTGCCGTCCCACCAGCTGCCCTGGGCCCAACCCGTCCAGGAAGTCACTGAACTGACTTTCGGCTCCCAGCCGTGCGGTGGGGAAGATGAACCTGTGTGGGATGGAGCAAGAGATGCCGACGGGGCCCCGGGTGCCCCCAGCCTCCACAGCGCGCGTGTGCCAGCGGTCCTTACGTGCCGTCGGAGCTGTTGCTGTTGGTGCTGCCGTCGGTGGACTCACGGCTGCCCTGCCGGGTCACCCTGGTCCTCAGCTCCACCGCGATGCCGGTCTCAGTGCTCCGGCGGATGTTGCTGCGCAGCTTTTTGGGGCCGCCCTCTGGAAGCCAAGGTGTGGGGTGTGAGGTGGTGGAGCCACCATCCCAACCCTGTATCAACACCTCCAGGTCCCACTGACCCCGCTCTGTCTATGGCTGAGCCGTCCCTGTTGCCATCCCCGGGAGCCGCTGTGCTGGCGCCCCACTGCTGCTGTGTGTCCCCAGCGGTGGCAGATGGCGCAGGGAGGTGGGCGCCCAGGGGAGGAGATGCCCCCAACCCCCACCGCTGCCCGGTGCCACCAGGCCGATCCCTGCACTGCGCTGCCTCTGCCAGAGCGGGCAGGATGCCACAATCACCACTGGCATTGCTTGTAGGAACCTGCCAGCTCGCCGGGGTCTGTTAAGGTGAGCAGGGAAGGCCGTGGCAGTGCTGCAGGAGCCCTGAGAGGGAACCACGCATTGCTCTGCTGCAGCCACAGAGGATCGGGGATGGGCTGAGGAGGTGCAGCCCCATCGCTGGGAGCACTCCTGCCTGGCCCTGGCACCCCTCAGTTCTGTGATAACGACGTCCCTTCTGGAACGTCTGGGATGTGTGGGGCTGCAGGGCTCCAGGTGGGCACCTCTCATTATGGAGAGCGTTCTGACTGATGGAACGCCAGCAAGGCCACTAAACTGAGCCATAACCAAAGCACTAAACTGAGCCTTTCTCCCTCCTTCGCCTTCTGCAAAGCTTCTTGAAGCACTTCAATATTTCCCACAGCCAGAGATCACTCGACTGGCCCTTTCCACACATCAATTTTTCGGGGTGTTTTAACCAGAGTGGTGCAGGTGCCCATTGCAAAGCAACAGGGACCCGGCCGTGCTCACCGCTCTGGTTGAGCTGCAGCGTGCTCCTGCTCCACTGCGACAGCCCCACGATGGCCACCATCTTGGCTCCCAGGCTGGAGCGCCGCTTCTTGCTGGCCGTGATGCTGACGGAGTCGGCGCTGCCCCGCGCGCTCTTCTCCACGCCGTACATCTCCCCGCTGATGCTGGAGCTGCGCACCACATTCCTGCCCGCCGATGGGCCGGCGTCCCCGTTGAACATGGTGAGGCGTCGCGGGGTGGGATCAGCTGCAGGGACAGCGGGGCAGGTTGGGGGGCACTGCGCTGCCCACAGGTGCTCAGCTGGATATTCGGGGCACCCCGAGGTGGCTGCGTGCCTTGTGGCTGCATCACCGCCAGCCCGACAGCCCAAACCCCACCACGGCTGTGGCTGTGCCCACCCCGATCCCCGCCTGCTGGCCGTGCCCCACACTCAGCACCACGCTGGGTTTCCAGCCCTCACTGCTTCCCTTCCCCATGAATATTTAAAGCGCGGCGGGATGGGAGGCATCCATCTTCCAGGCAGAGGTGAATGATGAACTGCGGGCCAAGTGAAGCCACTTTAGGATAATGGATGGAGGCAGCGCCCGGAAAAATATTTCTCTTTCAAGAGACGCAGCCACAAACGCAGAGGAGAAGTGGCAGCTGCCAGTGGGGCAGCGCAGGGCATGGAGCATCACGAAGGAGATGCAGAGGGGACACGGATCCCCACGGCGCCGATGTCGCCCAGCAGCACCCCGGCACAGCACTCAGTTTTAGCCAAGCTTTGGGGCACGGCAGCCTCTGGCCGTGAGGAAGGGAGCCCAAATGCTCACCCAACTCTGTGCACGCTGCTCCCCGCCTCAGTTTCCCCCCAGCCGTCCCTGAGCACAGTGACCCTGCAGGACCCAACGCGCCCCAAAACGGTGCACAAAGGGCTCCCAGCGCTGTGCTCCCCACTCGGCACGGAGCTTTGCTGGGAGCAGACGACATGATGACAGCGCCGTGGCAATAGCATGGTTTCACTAGGGATCCCACCCCGGAGGGAGGAGGGATTTGCTGCACTCCCGCAGCCCGGCCCGCACGCCGCACCCCTTTGCCCACCCTCTGCATCTCATCTCCTCCCCGTGGCAAAGCACTGCGATTCTGACAGCCGCAGCCCCTCCGCTCCGTGCCCCACGGCTCCGACCCACAGCCCCGATGGGCCCGGAGCGACGCCGCGGCCGTGGCGTCCCTGCACTGCTGTGCGACGGCCCCGACACGAGCTCCGCGCCGCGTTCCGCGCCCACCCTGCACGCACCCCCCCAAATAGCAAGAGCTCCCTTACCTGAGAGCAGCGCCCCGCGGCCCCCCCGCCCGGCACGCAGCCCCCGGCCCCTCTATGGGAGGAGGGTGGCAGCCCGGGCACGCTGCACGGGTTTCTGGAGAGCGGCGTTGTGCCGGCGCTGCTTCAGCATCTCCATGGTGACATGGCTGACCCAGTTCTCCTCCCAGCCCTGAGCGAGCGGGGGCACGCAGCGGTGGTCCGGGGGGGAGTGGGGGAATGTGGGGCGGTGCCAAGGAAAGGGGGCAGCGGGAGATGCGGTGGGGTGAGGTGGGATTCGAGGGGATGCGGTGGGATGTAATGAGATGAGCTGGGATCCGGGGGGCTGCAGGAGGTTACGATGGGATGCGGGTGATGTGCGGCGGGGTGCGACGTGCAGCAGGAGGTGCAAAGGGCTGGGGTGGGATGCGGGGGGACGGGGTGGGACGTGGTGGGACACGATACAGAAAGATGCAATGGGATACGGGATGGATGGGATGACGTGGGATGCGATGGAATGCAGTGGGCACCCCGGACCCACTGGGGAAACTGAGCTGGGAAAAGGGGGATGAGGAAGCTCAGAGGGTCACAGGCATTTGAAGGACCAGGGTGACAACGGAGCCCCAGCATCCCGGTGACCCTGCATGGTGCTACCCGGGGCTGTGAGAGAGCCCGACCCCAAACATCCCACCACCACAACAGCGATAATTGTAACAACAACAACAGGAAAATTGGGATGATGCTTTGCCAAGGGCTCCGGGGGGAGGGAGGAGCTGAGTGGTGCCCCACACAAGTGGGGAGCAGCCCCTGATGATGGGCGGGGAGAGCAGGACGGGGGGAGAGGAGGTGATAAATGAGTGCCCCATGGCAGCCCTTCCCCTGGACGGAGGGCACAGAGGGTGGCCCTGGTTGTCCCCATGCAGGGGGGCTCCCCGCGCTCTGGGGCTGCAGGGGGGGGGGAGCCACAACAGCAGGTGGGGGCACTCAGCCCATGCTTTTAGGGAAAAGCCCACCTGCTGGGGGTGCTGCTGCGAGGTCACAGCTCACCAGCATGCTCTCCTTCTTGCACTGAGAGAAAGCAAGGCTCGATTTCCCCTAAAAGTACTTAATTGTAATTAAATGCTTCGGGTTTGATAGGTGATTGCTCAGCTCAGCTCAGCTGCCCAGCAAGGGGCGTCACTCGGTGCACCTGAGCCGGAAACCAGCGCAATGCAGCCCAGGTGAGGACAGCAGGGACCTGGAGGTGGCGGTCCCATATGGGAGCATCCTTTAGTCCTGCCGTGCACACATCACGCTTTGGCTGCGGGGTTTTCTTCCCCAGCCCCGACGCACAGCTCACCCGCAGCCCCCCGGTGCCACGGTGCTCCCAGCAGGGGCCGGCAGCGGCTCTGGGATGGGGAGCTGTGAGCAGCACCTCCCCACAGCCGGTCTGTCGATGGGTGGCAGCACCCACCTCTGCCCCCCACGCTCGCCCCCCCCCCCCCCCCCCCCCCCAGCCGCCGTCCCTCTCCCCCTGTCCCTGTTTGACGTCTGCCACGCGGTTAAGTCAGATCTGCGCTGAATCCCATCGTTTCCACGGCAACGTGGAGGAATCAGAGGACCCAAAGCCGCCCGGCGGGGCTGCGGTGGGGGGCAGCGACGCTCTACGGACCGCATCGGGCAGCCCCACCGCTCCGTGCTCGGTCTCGAGCCCCTCTTGGGGCCGTGATCCCCACATGGCCGTTGCTTATGGGGCTGCCCCGCTTACGGAGCTCCCCCCACAGAGATTCTCCCCGCGGGGTCGGCAGTGGGGCCGGTACCGATGCGCACGGAAGGGCCGCTTGCTGACGGCGTTTCCCATCCCCTCCGCTTTCCGCCTTCGCGCCGCCCGGCCCGGAGCTCCGCAATGCAGCTCACAGCGCTCAGCGCTGCGCGAATCCCATCAATATTTCATGGAGCCGCTTCCTCCAGGGGAAGGGCTGCGCTCGCTCTGCTTCTGCCGCTCCCAGCAGCGCTCCTGCCCTGGCGGAGATCATCCCATTTCCTTCCCCTGGCAGCCAGCCCCCAGCAGCCCCCCCTTCCCCTTCCTTTTCCAAATGAGCCGCCAGCGCTGCGCCTTTCGAGGCTGCACCCTATGCGAGCTGCGAAGACCCCTCAGGTGGGAATCAAAGCCCCCGCTGATTTCTGCCCTGCGATGCTCGAGTGCAACGTGCTGGGATGACAGGGGCAGCTCCGGGACGGGCACTTGGACCCCCCCCAGCTCCGTGTGCAGCCCTGAGCGCTGAGCACAGCCCCACATGGCAGCACGGGGTCCCTCCTGGCTGCGCCCGCGCTGCCCACAGCCCAGCAGGTCAGGTGCAGCGTTTGCAGAAAAGTTGTTGGTGTTTTTTTCTTTAGATGCTAAGGCTGCACAATTACAGCACCGCTTCTGAAGGGATCAGCAGAAAAACTTGCTTTGGGAAGACTTCTGTGAGCCGGAGCGATGCCAGGAGAGCGCGGGAGCACAGAGCTGCCCACAGCAGCACCCAGCACTGCCTCAGCCCCCACCCACCCCGACGTGGGAGCCTCGTTGGGGACACTGCCATGCACCCATGTCCCCTCCTCGCTCCATCACCCCACAGCCAACACGTGTGCAAACAGCAAGCGGTGCCCCCAGCTCCAGGGGTCCCCCTGCAAAAGGTGAGGGGCTCTGGGGCACCCCCTGCCCCCACACAGCCCCATGGCACAGCGACCCGTGTGGGACCCCCAAGTGGGGAAGGCAGCCGTGCAGCACATCAGCCACGCTGTCAATCCTGCTCTAAATCACTACAATGGTGCCAACGTGAGCCTGTTTCCCTGCTATTAGAGATGCTGTGACACAACATCTTGGAGAGCATTGAAATGGATGCAAGGAGATGGTGGCGTGCGGCTCAGCTCCTAACAAGCAGGAGGGTTTGGTGCTTTCATAAGCTGAAATTGCGCTGTGCATCACCAAGATGCTCCCACACGGCTGTGGCACAGCAGGACTGAGCTCAGCTCAAGTGGGATCAGAAGCGACAGCACAGGGATGGAGCAGGGGGGTGGTTGTCCCTGATTTGGGACGCATGAGGAAGGATGGAGGCATTGCACAATGCAGGCGGTGCTTCGGGGATGGGCCTGAAACGGGGCCGGAGAGAGAGCTGTGAGTCAGGGCGTGAGCTGGGGCAGCAAATGGATGGCAGAGAGGGCACAGAGCATGGGGAGATGGGGGAGTGCAGCAGAAGAGCTGGTTTGAGAGAGGCTCTGGTGCAGGAGGAAACGGGCACAGTGCTGGGGATGGAGGGGAGAAGCTCGGGGCAGCAGCCCAGCCTGAGGCTGTGTGCTCTGCACTCCAAACCTCAGCCGTGTCCTCAGCACGTGGGGAGCCGCAGGACCCCACGGTCACCACAATGCAGGAAGGAAACACCCAGCACAGCCCCGGGGCTGCGGCCTGCATCCTGCCGTGCCCTTTGGCTCGGGGCTGAGGGCCCTGCTCGCAATTTGTGCTTCCCTGCAGCCGTCACCAAACCCCATGCGCCGCAGCACCGTGGGGACGGACGTTGGCCCACCCCATAGCGCCGGGTCCTGGGGAACGCTGTGTGTGTGTGGGGTGAGGAACAATGTGGGCGCCCACCCCACAACCCCACACCACCACCCCTGGGGACTGCACTGAGATGTGAGAGCAGCCACTGCTCCTGAGCAGCACCGCCCGGCTCCGGTCCGTGCTGCAGGGCCGGAGTGACGCCCATGGCTTCCTCCTAACACAGAGCCCCAGTGGGGCCCCTGCCCACCCTGCAGCACCGTTTCACTCCTCCTTAGCAAACCTGTGAGGGGTTTCCCTGCAGGACCACCCTCAGCACCTGGCTGTGTGCGCACAGAGGGCACAGCAGGACTGACAGACACGGCACAGCAGGACCGATGGACACAACACAGTGCAACTGATGGGCATGGCACAGCAGGACCGACGGACGGAGCAGAGCAGGACCGATGGACACAACACCAGCGAGAGGTGAGGTGAGCGCCGGCATTCTGCGGGTTGGGGGCTGCGATGTGAACCCCCTCCCCCTCTCCAGGCAGGGGCCCCCCCCCCCCCCCCTCGGCCGCTCGCTGCCCCCGTGTCCCCCCGCGGCGGGGCCAGGCTGGCACGGGACGGGGTTGACGTCAACGGGCTTTCAGCGGGGATGACGGATGGCAGAGGGACAGCGCTCCCGGTCCCGAGCCGCTCTGGGAAGCGCTGCCCCGCCGGTTCAGAGCTCCGGTGCTCGATTCCAGCAGCGCCCGACCCGGAGCCCCCGATCCGGGCAGCCCCCGCGCTTCGGGGCTCCCTCCCTTCCCCGAGCATCCCCCAGTCGCGCCGCCCCCCCCCCGGCCCCGCTGCCGCCCGCGACGCTCGGGGCAGGTGCGGTCCCGCCGGGTCCCGGAGCGCCGCGCCCCGCGGGCACTCACCCACCGCTGCCGCCGCCGCCGCCGCCGCCCGTGCCCGCTCCTCCCCTCGGCCCCGGCGGGTGCTGGGAGCGGCGGGCGGGGGAGCCCCGACGGAGCGGGCGGCGGCGGAGAGGGGCTGGAGGAGCCGCGGGGAGCGGAGCCGCTGGGGGCAGCCCGAGGGCGGCCGGGGGAGCCCGCCGTGCCCGCGCCGGTGTGGGGCTCGTGCTCATCGGCCGGACCGAGCCTGTGCCCACCGCTCAGAGCCCAAGAGCTGCCACGCTGACCCTCCTTCCACCATCCGGACCTTAAGAGCTCCCAGCTGAACCTCACCCGCACCCCAAAAGCCACCAGCCCGACCCCATACCCAACAATCGGAGTCCCCAAGAGGTGCCAGCAGGACGCTGTACCTGGCAAACAGACCCTGAGAGCCGCCAGGAGACCCTGTGTCTGTTGGTTGGACCCCTGAGTCCCGCTGGCCCTTCTTCCACCATCCAAACCCCAGGAACCAGCACCGAGACCGAGAGCCCCCAGCTGCACCTCGCTCCCCATCACCCAGAGCCCCCCAGCAGGCTCCACACCCACCAAGCAGCCCCAGAGCCTCCGGCCATGCCTGCAGCCGTCAGCCTACGGGTGGCTGTGGCGGATGCTGTGGGGGCAGAGGGAACACACAACCCTCTGGGATGCGGTGACCCCAAATCATCAGCTGCCATCCCTTGAGCAGGGACCAATTTGGGGGCTTTGCCTGGTGCCTGAGCGCAGCCCTGCCAGGGAACAGGGTGCATTTTGTGCCTCAGTTCCTTCTGAAGGAGGGAGAAGGTCGGAGCAGAGGGGCTGCGATGTCCCACGCTGCCCTTGGACTCACCTTGGCTCCCCAAAGACAAACACTAACGTCCCCCGGAGCCGCTTCTCTTTTCGCTCATGGTGAATTCCTGCAGTGCTCTCCCTGCGTTCCCTCCGCGGGCTGCGCACCCTTTGACATGGCAGCCACGTGCCACGAGGAAACCCTCCTTCACCAACTTTAACTCTGTCTCTCCCTCAAATAACAGCAGGCTCAGATTGCCCTGTGCTCCCCGCTGCACGGCGTGGGGGTCCCGGTGGCGGGCAAAGCCTCAACGGGGTCCAGGCAGTGAGCTGGGGATTGCAGGTAGCAAAGTGCAATTTGGGGGGGCAGAGAGGGTGGGGAGAAAATCCCCTCAGGGTGCTGCAAGGGAAGGGGACGGCAGGGACACAGCAGGGACACGGCAGGGACACAGCAGGGACACGGCAGGGACACGGCAGGTCCCAGCGCCGGGCACAGGAAGGCTGGGGAAGGAGCAGGAATAGCTGAAAGAACTAAATATGGAAACTTGGATAAAACAGAGCTGAAGTAGGGAGCCGGTTTCCTAACAGAATTCAAAGCATATAAACAAAGTCGGGGAGGGAGAGAGGTTGTCTGGAGGGGGCCTTTATGAGTAATATTTAGAAAAACCGGCTGGAAATGTCTCTTGGGGAAAGGCAATTTCATCAAAGCGGGTCTGCAGCTTTGTGGTGTCAGCGTAGTTCTGGGAACACGTTGTTTGTGGGGAAGAGGTGCTCAAAACGCACGCCTCGATGGTGGAAAGCAGCTCCTTAATTCACTAAGGAGCTCAGCTTTGCCGGCTTCCCACCACCTTCTCCTTTGCTTTTTGGTGCTGTGTCGGAGGAAGGAGTTGTTTAATGTGATTACTGCCGTCAGGGCGACTTAAGAAGATTAATGGGGCTCAGCTTTATGGTGTTGCAGGGGCTGTGGGCAGCAGGCTCAGGTCCTGCACCCGCAGGGAGCTCAGCTGCTCGCTGCAGCGGCTTCCTGCACCCAATGGAGGCAGCCTGCCGGACCTCAGAGCCCCACATCTGACCCAAAATGGCTTCTTTCTTCCCTCCCAGCTCTACGAGGCGACGCCTCTGCGTCCAGGCGGATCTCAATTATTCACATCCAGATTTTTCTCTTCTACGCGTTTCTTTGCTTGGGGATGCTTGCCCCAAAGCAACAGCTGGTTTGGGATTAGTGCAGAGGACTGCTGTAACGGGAGCCAGGTGGGATGGGAGAGGGCTGACTGATGGGAGGAAGGCCAGGAGTGCAACCTCTGCTGTAGCATCCAATTTCCATAAGCGTCAAACAAACCCAGCCCTCCTGAAAGCCGGCTGGAGGCTGCAGTCAGTGCAGAACAGCTCCTCTGGGTCTCATTGCTGGCGCAGGAGGCCCTGGTTGAGCAGGTAGCAGATGTCAGTAAGTGCGAAATCAACAAACCACCACAAGAAAATTACACAGGCACCAATAAACCAGAGAGCGGAAAAAAAGCTGTTGTGGTTGTTGTTGGGTTTTTGTTTTGCTTTTTTGTTTGTGTTTGTTTTTCTTGGCTCCTCCGCGTTTCGGGCAGGCTGACACAAGAGATCTCTGTGTCTGCAGATGGCTGCGATCCTTGGGGAAGCCGAAGCACCCCAGACAATGCATGCATTGCTGCTGAGAGCAGGTGGGAAGGAAACGGAGCATCACGGGCACAGGGCGACGGCACACAAAGGGATTCAGCAGGAGAAGGGGTGGATGCTGTGCAGAACGCCCTCCTTCAGCAGGGAAACAGCTGGCTGGTTGGGCAGCTGGGCCCGGCAGCAGTCAGCAGCAGTTCTGGCTAATTGATTTAGAAATGAGTCATTTCAGCAAGGGGCTGCTTTGCAGATCATCGCTCCCAGTCACTGCAAAAGGAGATTAGCTTAGGAATAGTGAGAGCTGGGGGGAGGGAGGGTATACTTTTAAGGAAAAGCTGTGGCACATCGCTTATTTCTTTTGGCTGCTCTGCCTCGCGATTGTCCCCAAACAGCAAAGCTGCAAGACTTGCAATAAAACTGCAGGGATTTGCTGCATTTTGGTGCCAACAAGCAGTCTTAAGGGCAACTTAGCTCTGAAACCCCAACGAACGTGGCAGAGGAGATCTGTCCTGTTTCCTACAAATGCACCCGTCTGTCTGTCTGTGTGTCTGTCTGTCAGGCTGCAGCACTCCTCCTCCTCCCACGCAGGGCACACAGCTCCCCGGGCCTGGCTGTAGACAAGGCCGCACCTGGAGGCCTCGGGCCTGCAGGAGCCCAGCGCATGCCCAGGCCAAAGCCTTGGCTGCTCCCTCAAGGCCCGGACAGCTCCCTCGCTCCGCTCCCTGCGGCCCGGCCCCGCTGCTCCCCGCCGCTACCCGCCGTCCCCGCTCTCGGTCCCGCCCCACGCCCCGCCCGTTGGCTCCCGCCCCGGCCCCACCGCCTCCCGCCCCGACGAAATCTCGCGAGATCAGCCCCGGGTCATGCGCCTGCGCGGTGAACCGGCCCAAGGGGAAGGGGCGTGGCCTCCGCCCCGCCGCCTCACGGGTCCGCCGCCATCTTGTTTCTCGGCCGCCGGGCGCGCGCTCTGCTCCGGACGCACCCCTCCCCCTCCCTCCCGCCTCCCGCCAGCCGGGCCGGAGGCAGCGCGGCCGCCGGGCGGAGGAGGCGGAGGTCGCGGCGCCGACCGGTACGGTGAGTGAGCGGAGGGCGGGTTAGACGACGGCGGGGGGGAGGCGGCGGCCTAGTGAGAGCCGTGGGGCGGGGGCGGTGCGAGGGATTCTCCCCCTCCCCCCTCTTCGGCGGCGCCACTCCGATTGGCGCAGACTCACCGCGCGCGCTGATTGGCCCATGCGGAGGGAGGCGGGCGAAAGAAGCCGCGCGCTAATTGGCTGCTGAGAGGCGGACCGGGGAGAGGACGGGGAGCCCAACCGTTTCCCCGCGCAGCGCGGGGTGGGGGCGGCGAGGCCTAGGCGAGTCTGTGCCTGTGTGTGGGCCCTGCTGCGGACAGCTCGGTTCCGCGTCCCGTTACCAGTTGTTACCGATTCCCGCTTGTTTTGGTTTATTTTATTATTTTTTTTTGCTCCGCACGCCTTAGGAGGGGCTGGGCCGGCCAGAACTGTGCTGTGTGCGCGGCTCTGTGCTGAGTCCTGAGCGGTTCCTGAGAGAAGGACAGAAGCGCGGCCCAGGGCCAACAGCTGTTGCGGTCGGCTCGGTTCCATTCAGGCCGTAGTGTTCCCTATCTACTGGCTGTGGAGCAGCGGCAGGCTCAGAGCGCTCACAGGGAATGAACGGCGACGGTGGCCCCTTGGTCTGCAGTCTGCCTCCTCGTGGTGCTTTGTCTGCAGGCAGCCGATATGGGGGTCCAGCTGGTTCTGCAGAGCAGACTGCAAACATGGTCTTAGACGCAGCACACACACCTGGCTCATCAGACAGCAGGCACTGCCGTTGCCCGTGGCAACATCGCGTGTCTTTTGATAGGTGTATCCACGCCTTCTTTAAACGAGGTTATGTTTTTGGTCAGAGCTGCTGTTATTACATTGAGCCTCATTCCATTGCTGGCCTAAAACCGTGCGCAGCACGCTGTCCCTTGTGCATTGGTGACGAACGGGCACAGCCTGTCGTGATGCTGCTGGCATTGCACGGCCCTGTGTGACCGCTGGGTTTGGTGCAGCGGATACCGCTGACCGCGGGATGCAGAGGTCGGGCAGAGCCTCCGCTTTCATTCTATTTGTTGCGATTTCAACATGTTGCATATGTTGAAACATGTTGCACCGCTTCCGAGCGGCGGGTGGGTGCCCTGACTGGCGGCCCCGCAGCGCTGCCCGCCAACCCGGCCCCGCGCTGCCCAGGGAACGGCTCTGCGCTCCGCCCTCCCGCGCCGCCCCGTGACTCGCCGCCGGAGGAGGAGGCGGGCGTTGCTGGAAGCGATAGCCGCGCTGGCCAATCAGCGGCGCCGCGCGGCCCCTCCGCGTGTCAGCTGGCCAATAGGCGTCGCCGAACGGGAGAGGAGGGCGCAAGGCCGCGCCGCCGAGGGGGGCGCGGGCGGGCGCCGCTCTGACCCCTGCGCTGCCTCTCAAGGTAACTTTAAAGCAGGAAGCGGACGGCCGGGGCGAGCTGCCGGCGACAGCCAATGAGTGCGCGGGGCCGCGGCTCCCCCCGGCGGCGCTCAGCCAATGGGCGCGGCGGGGCGGGCGCAGCAGGGTAGGCTGAGCGGCGTCTGTTAAAGGGGCCGGGGCCCCGGTCCGGCGGGGACGCGGAGTCCCGGCAGGCAGGGGTCAGCTCAAAGACAAAGGAATGGCGGGCCGGCCCGGGACGCCTGGGGGCCGCGGTCCTGCGGCATCATCCCGTCTCGCCCGGCGGCCAGCCTCCGCGGCCCGGTGAGTTGGTGGTGCTGGCGGGGGCCGCGCGGGTTAGGCGGGGGGCGGCCGCGGCCCGGTGACAGCGCGGAGATGGCACCGCCCGGCACCGTGCGGGGCCTCCCCTCTGCAACGACGGACGGGGCTGCGGGTGCGGGCGCGGCTCGACGCCCTGGGCTGAGCCCCCGGCGTCGGGGAGGCGGGGGGTCCGGCGGGCGGGCGAACGGAGGGGTCATCCCGGGCTGAGCTGTGCGCGGGGCCGCGCCGCCAACCGGGAGTGTGGATCGAGGGGGGGCACAAAATGGCAGCGCCTCCCCCGGTGCCCGCCAAGCTGCAGGGCTGGGGAAGGGGGAGGGAGATGAAGGGGGATGCGGGAGCCGGCGCTGACGCCTGGCCTCTGCGGCCCGACGGCACCGTGGGCATTGGGCCCCCAGCTGCCCCCGGGCTTCTGCCCGCAGCCCTTTTGTTTTCTCTCCCATTTGCCACCCAACACTGAAGGTCACTGAGAGGCCGAGCGCCGCTGGGCACACGGCACGGCCAGCGAGCTGAGAGTGACACGGGTGAGCAGGCAGCCCCGGGGGAACCAAGCCTGGGCCTGGAGCCGGTGCTGAGCTGCAGCCCAGTGCCCGAGTGAGGCCTCCCCACATCAGCAGTAGTGACCTTGAGATGCCGCGGCTCCCGGCCTCCGGAATGAAGGACAAAGTTTGTTGACGGCACTTTGGCTGGGAAAAAAAAAAGAATGCGAGTTGAAAAATGAAGCTGCTCCCCTCGCCCAGGGCAGCGAGGGCATGGGGAATGGTGTGCAGCTCAGCATGAAGTGCACATCGCAGGCATTCCTCACCCTGCACTGCAGCGGGATGTTGGGTGCTGCCGGCACGTCCTTGCCCACTTCAGGGCTTTTCAGCTGCTAATTGTTGG